ACACACACACACACACACACACACACACACCTAGTGTAGATCACCTTCCAGCAAGGAGGTGTGAGCTCCTGCTCACACCAAATGACCAATAGGATTACAATGCATGAATTGTTGTACCTTTGTTTAGGGCGGAGCAGCCCAAGAAAATAAAATGTATTGTAAGACCTTAATTCGGGGTCAGTGGATGGAACTCCTGCGGGAGCTCTATCTCTCTGATCCCAGCACCGTAAGGCCTACCTGTGATCGGACTTTCAGTAAACTTTCTGCTGATTTTAAACAGTCCTCTCCTGTCCTCACTTCTCATGCTTCCAACAAAAGAATTGGGTTAATTTCTAACAGGTTTTAGGCATCTTCCATGGCAGCCGTTTATCTGGTTTGTCACCTCGTTCACAGAGTGTGTAAGCCCTAAGAGACTTGCAGGCCAGTAACTCAGATCTCAAGACCAATCATATTTATGTCCAGTTGTAAAGTAGTTTCTGTATAAACGTTTTCCTGAATTTGTGGTTGTTAGGATCGGATATGAACTAAATTAATTCAAGCATATCATTCCAATTCCAATAAGTATTTAATATTACAATAATACTGAACAGTTCAATAAGTTGTAAGACAATAGGGAACAGAAGAACAGAATCACCACCCCTGCAAAGGAATAAATACAGTATTAAATGAGGATTAAATGTATTAAATGAGAAGATTGTCACAGTCAGTCAGTCAAATCCAGAGTCAGGTCGGTCCCCTCTCCACCTGACCGGGTCCAAACGCACACTCACGACTGCAGCACCATCATTCTCTCTAACCCACAGCCATTCTAACTTTTATCTTCTCCCAGTTACATATCCTGTCCACTCACCTCCTATTGCTTAAGCCAGAGTCACAGCTCTACACCCCTTCTTCCAGGAATTGTCTGAGATGTCCAGTACATGAACTTCAAGGTCGCACTGACCCAGCACATTTCCTTTCCTAAACATGAACAGTTCACGCAAGGCTGAAGTTATGCCCAACTTTAAGCTTCCCATTTAAGGGAGGCTGCTCCCTGGATATTTAGCCATAAATTAAACAAAGAGGACACAAGCCAAGATATTCGTGCTTGAGCAAGCTATTGGTAGATAGTTCCCATGGTCTCCATGCACAAACATCTCTCCAAGACTATATAAACTTATGTTAGGTTATTTCTTAGTTAGATAGATATTTAGAGATTTGTTGTCTAGAAATGTTTAGTGCAGACAGGGTGACTAGCTTAGGCTGTAACTATTCAGCCTGCAGGGAAGACTGCAGGCACGCCAAGGTTACAGGAAAAGAGCTTTTAGGGTCAACTGTAATGCTAGTCTTAATATTTGTCTTAATGTGTAAGGTTATGTCCAATTGTTTAGATACACACCACGAAAACAACAGTCACGCACCTTGACTTTGCCTCATGTTTTGGCTAAAC